GTCCGTCAGGTTTACTTAAGGGAATCCTAAGGCACAAGATGAGTTAGCAAAAACCTGGCTATGGCAAATGAACAAATTAAAAGAAGACAAAAACAGACATGGAAAAAGTGAATGCTTTTCAGGCTGTCTGGTTCAAAATAGCCGTTCGTCGCTGTTGGACTCGATAAAACATTGGTCAATGAATCGAACGACTGATCTTCGGTATGCCTCAGTTAGGTGCTTTGACCTGCAACGAGTCACTCCAGATCGCTTTCGCAGAACTTGACCTTGTCTGAGCAGTTGGTACACCGACTTAAGATGATGTAATGTGTTAGGCCCCCTCTACAAGACTCTACTTTCACGGGATAAGCAAACTGAGAACAGACAAAACCTTTGGACCTATCATGATTTCATTGTCCATGGCACGTAGCCAAGTTTCTCCTAAGAGAATGACACAAATGCTGCTGAAAAGTGGCATGGTGAGAAGTCAGCGGAACTCATGCACTTTCGGCCGGACGGTTCAGCAACTGTTGAAAATTGCCGCTGGATAATAGAGGCTTTCGGCGGGTGTTTGTTCTGTAACAGGCTCTTTGTCATCCACCCCTTCTGCCACGTCAGGTCTTCTGATTACTTTCACAGTCTGCCACTGAGTAGCAAGACGAAGCGGCAAGAAATCGTGGGGTTAGACAGAAATTGAATTTTCAATGAGCGTTTCAATTTGAAAGTACAACCAAAATCACCAGAACGCAAACCCCTAATTCATATGTTGGTCAATAGGTCATGCTTATTAGTTTGCACATCTGTGGTAAGACTTGTTAACTAAAACCTGAACAGGAGAGGGAATATTTTATAGATTAATCCTCACTCCAAACTAATACGTTAATATTCTTAATAATTCATTGAAGGCTAATTGCAAAAAACGATCGTGGTTTTTGCGGCTGCGTGGCAGCTCTGGAGGATTGTAGATCATATTTCCGTCAAAAGTACTATGGACATCGTTGAAAAATCGATATGTTCCCTTTTCAAATGATTTATAATTAATTTTTTAATTGCAGAATTTGTTTCCTTTTCGTTCTTTACCTAGCAGAAATCGTGAAAGAAGTCTACGTTGCCTTTGCTGAACTGAATTCTAGATTTTTTTTATTCTCATAAATAATTTCCGTCGATAAATTACGCTTATTTCAGCCAACTCGATGTGCTTTTTTTCGGTGGCTTTCTTTCTCGACCATTATTGTTTAATATTAGCCATTGAGTGAAATTTTTTCTTAGCCTCATATTATTTTAACCCCTTTTTTAACCGTCCTCTGTCGACAATTCCATCTGATGCTCTGATGAATCTCACCCCTCACATTATCTTAAACATTTCCCTAAAATTTCCCTCAGGGGCGTATAATTCCTGATGAAGTTCTTCTTTCTTGGTTATTCAATGGTATCTTTAAGCTATCAGAACCAATCGGTCACAGCATCACAGTTATAGGGCTAATAAATATCATTCTGCTCTTAACTCGTCACTGCGTTTCTGAGGTTGCTGTAAGACGTTTATAAACGCCTTACCCTTTATAGATTTATCCCTAAGGAAATGCTGGTAATATGTCTAGAGGTGATGCCGCACGAACATCATAAGTTGTATGTGAGATACCGAATGCTACATAGACCACATTTCATGGTATACCCCCTCTTGTTCTAGTTGCTTATAGGCGTTGGAGTATTAGGTGGCCCGAGAAGAGCATGGGAGCAGTGCAATACGCCATTAAATCTGGTGCTTTGGGATTCATTCAGTATTTCATCTGTTCAGACCTACGAAGAACTTATGACGTTTATGCAATAGCATCTAAGGAGTAGAAGCTCCGGTAACGTCGTTCATGATGAGCGCGAAGTAAATCTAGCGGATAAAACGACGCGACAAACATCTGATACGGAGGTGCTCAAATATCATGGAACCGTGGCCTGTTTAAATGTCCCTCCCAAGGCAACTACGAGTAAGGAGGTTGGGCAATGAGTCGTGAAATTTGCTCTTGGCGGAGTCTTTCGTTATGTGAGGCAATAGTCTCGAGTATAGCCGTCTATGCCCCAGATCGCAACTGCAATGGACTGGACATCTGACCGGAAGTCTAACCCTAAGTTTTCATATAGCTTTGCCAAGAAAGTCAACCTCGCGAATTTTTTCTGTAGCCTCTCCATCAGATGTCCAATCATCGCAATTGCGATCTTCAGATCTGGGGTAATAATGGCTTACGATCGATGTTTCTCCTCGTAGCATATTTCTAATATTTCGACGTTTCACCCTCTAAACACGAAAGGAAATAAAAATAGAAATGCCTCAGGTCAGAAGACTCCTTTAAGGCCATCCCAACGCTGGTTGCATTGATCTTGAGAACATATGTAAATATCATCAACGATCAGATTGTCTGACACGTGTTTTCCTTATAGGACCAGTGCCGTCGAAAGATAATCAGCATTAGTGCCCGAGGAAGTGCCGCTGTTTGGATCTTCTGACCAGTCGACTGTTCGACCCGATTACCTGAGTACGGGATCGAGGTAGTTACCGAACTGCCAAATGGTGAATCTACCGAAAAACCCGTTCAGACCCTCATCGGCGAAGATGAAAGCCTCAGAACGAGGGACCACAATTGCAACCGAGGCGAAGGCGACGGTGGCGATGTCCACGAAACCTCTGACAAACGACGACCTCGTTCCGGTAAGTGACGTCGATAACCAGCGAATAGAAATGTTGCAAACTGGCAGCTTTACGGACAGACCACCTAGCACCCGGAACCCACCAACCTTTCCGCCGACAGGAAGGCAAAAACACGGCTGCGGCAAAATCGTTCGTTCGGTTTTGATACCCCTTTTTATTTGCGAGCGAGTATCTGTCGGCGCAGCTGTGGGCGAAATTAAAGTGTTGTCGGATTAACATAGCTGGCTGTTGGTTTAATCCACCTGCCGTGCCATGCGGACTGTTATAAAACGGACAGAATGGCGCAGACTAAAGTGACTCAATGCACACGGAGTACAGCTGAGTTCTATCGCAGTGGCCGAGTGACATGTAGTCAGATTCGAATCACTTGAGATGTCTGAATTTCTACTTCGAATGTTTATTTACCTTAAATTTTTTTCTTTGACTTTTGGAATCAGGAACGCTTCAGATTTGTGATATCTGTTCGTCTGAGATGATGAATATATTAATTACAAATTTCTGGAAATAATTTTCAGCTAATGACTAAATTGATGAATTAATCAGCGAATGTTGGAAAGAATGCTTGAATGTAGAGAGGAATGAAAGGACGGACAGTGTTCGCTCTTCGCGGGGTTGAAATGAATATTCTTATGCAGTTCATCATGATAATCACAACGTTAGAGATAAAGTATTTGCAATTACTGATGGGAGGTCAACAGGAAATAATGCAAAAGATAAGAACAACATAAATTAGTCCATATGATTATTCAGTAGTACTACTACTTAACCTGTTTCTTTGATTTCTCACAGATTGGATAGTGCTAAATCTGTAACAAGTAACCAATAAAAGAAATCCGATATTTCCTTGTCAAGTAGAATTCAAACTTTCTGCCACATTATCGAGAGACGACGTTCTCTTTTGGGGATTCTAATTTATGATCCGTGTTTGCGATTGCACTATTCTAATATAAGGGCTGTGCAGCAATGATCACTTATCACCTAATTCAAAATGAACAGAAATTTAATGCAGTATAATTTTGCGGTTTGCCTATCAGAGGTGATGTTCAGGGCTACGTGGTAGCTTTCACCTGTATATTCACCCTTCAGTGTTTGTGTGCTAGCAAAGATATCGACAAGAAAACCATGGTCATGGCAAAGAATGTGCAAGACGTTTCTCCTGGATCTTTTTCCGAGCTCACACTGTACAACGGACTGGATTAACAGTTGTAATTTCTGCCATGTACAACGTCAACAGAAGATGAGTCGGCTTTGTGGCTCGGCTCAGAGTAAACCGACGAACGTCAGGAATTAAACACCTGGCTCTGCTGGATGTCGTCGTGTCGGTCATTCAAGAACATTTTGGGATGATCTGATGGTGAAGTTACTTCGGCTACTTGTGAAAGAAGCTCCAAGGGCAGAAAAGAGAATATTGGAAAAGCGTTGACTTGCGTTCACGGTGCATCCATAACCAGGACAAATCGGATAACGGATAATGGGTGTTACTGTAGTCTCGAAAGGCTGTACGTTTGAACGAGACTTGGACAGATTAATGTCTGTTAGCAGCAGACGTTGTCATGTTTGACACTAGTTAGCTTCATCTCCTGTCTACTTTGTGAAAACCGTGACGCTCGTCTCCCCTTCCGTTTCTTGGTTCGCTCTTCGTCAGCGGTTTCGTTTCACGCCTTAGTCATCGTATCTCGAAAGAATGGACTCTTCGGTACATTTCTTCTCAGCATGCTATCTTACACTTGGATCATTACCCTCCATGGTTGCATGAATGTTGAACTACGACTCGTAGGACAACCGTTGCTCGAGCCGGCTCTGGCGACATGGCTTCTTTGAGAAAGGGAAGACCATTTGCGGATGAAGATGTGCTAATGCTTTAAACTACGCGCCCAGCGAGTTGGTAACGGTCGCATGTGGAAACGTTCATCGGTGGAAGGAAATGACGGACGGCCGCCAGCGGTCGGTCGACGCTTGCCTCATCTGGTTGCCAGGACGGCGGCAGTTTTGACATGCACATCGAAACATCACGCAACAAATGCGGGCCAACAACTGCGACCAATCTGTATTCTTCGTTTTCGACTTCTGTTCTTCTGTTTCCTCACCTCGACTGCGACTGCGACTGCGACTCCGAACGATCGGTCGAACGACCATCATTTTAGAC